GTACGGTGTCGAATAATTTGGTGTCGAATAAATCTGTGTCGAATCGAGCGGTGTCGAATCGTACTGTGGTCAATAGAGTATCACCCCGTTCCGAACGTTCGTTCGAATAGAACGCACACGTTCGTTTGTCTGTTTGCTCGTCCGTTTGTTTGTTTGATCAAACGTTCTACTACTTATTGATGCACAATCCGTCCAACTAGTACTGATTTGTGTGTTTGTTGAAAACAAACGTGTACTTTGTGCCCTCGTACGTGGTTTCGAAGTTGGTGTATAGTTCCGTCCACGCGTCCAGATACATGGCCAATTTGGGCTTGTTGTTTTCCAGTAGCATTACGGTGTTGTCCGTGGACGCGACCTTGATTCCGGCCGAGTTGTACTCGGCGATGGCGTCTGTAGCGGACGTGTGAATCTCGAACTTGCTCGTCACTTTGCGAGCGGTGCAATCCCAAACCATGTGGAAGATCCTCCGAGCCGAAGTACTCTTGGGCCAGTCGTGAATAACGTCACCGACCAATTTTATATCGAAGTGCATCTTCTTGCGAATTTAAGCCCATATATGCACGGTGTGTTGCGCATAATCTCACAGCACGTACTCGTCCACGGTGAAACCACCGTAACCTTTTTTGTACACCATCTTTTTGCAGTCGTAGAAATGTCGCAGCATACCGATTGTCCGTAAGCGGGATTTACGATGGCGCAACGCGGTCGTCAACGTTCGTCCGCTCAAACAACGACGAACAACCGCGCCTCTGCTGTAAATTTCTACGAGAGGTTTCGAACAACACGCGTTACCTTCACCGTTAAAGGAGTAACACCCGCGGCGTCGTGTCGTCGTTTGCGACGACGGTGGCAAGGGTGATCGGGATCTTCTAGCGTTGCCGGTCAAGTTCTTTCCGTACGCCACTCAAACCGCGGTCGAAGACGCTTGGTTCGACGCATCGCGTTTTTATGGACACAACATCGCGCGTATCGATACCGAACGATCGAAGGAAAAAACAACGATCGATTTGCGCGCAACTTCTTACAACAGCGGTTCGTAGGTCGCGAACGCTTGTTCGCGGTCGCGCGTTCCTGTTCTTCGCAATACAAACCATTTCGGCGACGAACGCAACGTTACGCATTGCCGCTCAAAGATCGAACGGTCGAACTTCTTTCACGGTCGACGCGATGTTCGCACGACTTCAAATTTACACCAAGTTCAAACGCGTCGATTCCGATCGCGGCGCATCTACCATAGTATTGATCGATCAAATAACTCGTACCGTTGTAGGATCGGTCGGTCGGAGCAAACTGTTCTCGAAAAATATTTGATACCTAATGTCCCGCGTGGCTTTACCGAGGGACTGCATGTTCAACGCAAGATTCGTCACGCTCAAACCGTTACCGCCGCCGTTACCGCTATTGCCGCCGTCGTTCGTACCGTCACGTGACAAGTCGAACAAGTCTAACAACTCGACTTTGACCAGCGTCAACACAAACGAAAGCAAACAGCGTTATTCGTACGCGCACCCCATGCGTCTCTGGTCGAGCGTGCAATCGCACTCGTAAAACAGATGGTACGACATAAAGTTACCGACGAACAAACACTTGGCGTCGACGAGCGTTTGTTCCTTCCGATTCACCGTCGTTGTTGTCGCACTCGGTGTTGTCGTAGCCGTCTATGTCGCCGTCTGTCACATCCGTAGACATAGATATAGTAAGTATTATTATACCCAGTTTTCTTTTTCTTTTCTCATTACAGTAGTCGATAAATTACCAGCCTTGAACATATACCATGGTTGATAATGTACCATGGTTGATAATATACCATGGTCGGTAATATACCATGGTCGGTAATATACCATGGTTAGTAATATACCATGGTCGATAACTGTATGAGATAAGCATATGCACCAAGCGCGGTGCGAGCGCCTTTAAAATTTAGCGCGGCGCAGAAATGAGCGCTGNGCAGCAGGCAGCGCGCCTATTAACGTCGCAATAAAGGAAATGTATCTGCGCAGGATCACAAACCAATCGCGAAGTGCCCCGCGGCGCGGGGCAGCCTATTATGCAATAACACATGCGTGTCTGCGCGGAAAGACAATCCCGATTCGCGGAGAACATGCTTCGTTTTCTGGAAGCACCTTCAAAAAGTGCAAATCACGCAGACCGTTTCATGAAAAAACAAAAAGAACCTTTGAGAAGAAAAATAGTATATAAAGCCAGCACAGATGCAGGAAACGGCATTTTATCGTGACGCGCAAGTCAAATCTCGCATAGCATTTTGCAGTCAAGGAAATTAGACGGTCGCTCACTGGTTAAATTTCCTTCCCCCTTTTTTTTTCTTCATTGCTAATTATCACATTCGGTCGCTTGCCGATTCTTTTTTCTCACAAAGTCGTGGCTATCTACAGATTAAGAACAAATTGTAAATAGTGTACATAGATATTATTTTCTCAGTAACATTATACTTATTATCTACCAGTTTAATTGCGTTTCTTTTTTTTTGTGTGTTTTGTGCTTGCAGTGCGAGTTCTTTAGTTATCAAAAAAAACATTTGTCCTTCGAGCCGAATTACGTAGCAAAAGCATTGTGGGACCGTGGTGTTCGGTTTGTGCGAGCAATACCTGAAAACGAAAAATGGATAGCTTAATCCAAGCGCAGCACAAACTACATCAACGGATAGGGCGCACTTGCAATAATCTCAAGAAAACTAGTATCGAGAATATCACACTGGGTCGCATTTAGTCGACAATCAGTTTACTGGACAAAAAATAGGCTCAAGTCGAAGAACAGCATGCCGCATTACGATCGGGCCACTAGAATGAGTTAAAGGTGAATGATTATTATACAAAGGATTTTTTTTCTCNGGTAGAAGAAGCATACCTGACTCAACGGGGTAAGTTAGTGGATTACAAACGGTCCTTGCAGTCGAAATCTGACGGAGGAACACCCTCCATCGAAAATCAACTTGTGCCTGTTCGACGCACTCCCCTACCGAAGATTAAGGTGCCCGAGTTCTCAGGAAAATACGAGGACTGGCCTGCATTCAGAGATCATTTTGTGTCTTCTATCGACAAGGATGAGCAATTACCTACTATCGAGAAGCTTCATTACCTTAGATCGTGCGTGCAAGGTGAAGCCGCCTCTATGATACAGAACTTACCGGCGACAGAAGTCAGCTACCAAAAGGCATGGAAGGAGCTGACTTTTATGAAAATACTCGGCTTTTGATCAGATCACATTTATGCAAGTTTCTGGCCCTTCAAAGAATTAAGAGTGAAAGTGCAAGTGAGCTAGAAAAGATCTTTCACGGAATCGTGAATACTTACGTTTCATTGGAAAACCTTGGTCGTCCGGTAAACAGCAGTGAAGATTTATTCGTGCATCTAATCGTTGATCTCTTAGGAGCACGCACGAGAGATCTGTGGGATGAACACATAAGTGACTCTTCTGATCCGCCTTCCTTTGAGAAGCTGAAGGTATTCCTGCAACGGCGTCTCCAAACTCTCGACGGGCGACTTGCAGCAAAGGAGGCGAAGTTGGACACCACCACCAGCAAGTCGTCTTCATCTAAGACCGCTAAAAGCCAAGCCGCTCAAAAAAAGGACGCGGTAAAGAAAGGTGTTAAAGCAGAACGATGCTCCTTTTGCCATAAGGAGCATTTCCTGATGTTCTGTGACGCGTTCAAGGGCAAGTCTGCAACGGAGAGGAAAGAGCATGTAAGCGACAACAAACTTTGTTTCAACTGTCTCGGAAAACACAATGTAAGCGAATGCATGTCTAAAAAATCGTGCACAGCATGCAGTAAGCGGCACCACTCTATATTGCATGACGCATATCGCGACCAAAAGATAGAGATATCGGAAGCCACTACCTCGCACGTCGCGCGAAAGCGAGTTGATAAACACTTCACTATTCTGCTAGCAACCGCTCGCGTTCGCGTCGCAGATCGATTCGGGACCTTACACGACGTTCGCGCACTCATTGATCAAGGCTCGGAGGCCTCGTTTGTCTCAGAAGCTCTCGCTCAAAAACTGCGTTTGCCCCGGAAAGCCACTTCAGTTTCAGTTATTGGTGTCGGTGGGAGCCAGACTGGGACGGCGAAGGGCAAGGTATCCCTGAGGATCACATCACATTTCAATGAGACCGCATTTAACGTCGTCGCTCTTGTGCTTCCTCGACTTACCAAATACACAGGTGGAGCAAATATTCAAGCCCGTACGTAGAAGCATCTCAAAAACCTGGAACTAGCTGACCCAAAATTTCTTGCATCCGATCCNGTGGACATCTTGCTGGGCGCCGACGTTTTTGCAGCAATTGTATCGTCCGGAGTAAAGAGGGGCGGTCCTCAGGAACCTGTAGCGCAAAAAACGTCGCTGAGGTGGATTGTTTCAGGAGGCATTGCTTTTTCGGACAAAGCCTCGATTCATGCGCTTTTACATCAATGCATCGCGATGGAGACGCTGAATGAACAGGTTCAAAGATTCTGGAAGCAAGAAGAACCACTATCAGCTACACCGGTCCTGACAGAAGACGAGCAGCGATGCGAGGATTTCTTTATCGCTACTTACACTCGCAACGAAGAAGGCCGCTACATTGTTAGATTTCCATTTGCGACAAAAATAGCCGATCTTAAGACTACGCGGTACGCGGCTTTGCGCTCTTTAGCTCAAATGGAGCGCAGATTCTTGCGTGACCAAAAGCTGCACCATATGTACAAGGACTTCATGCGCCAGTATCAAGACCTGACGCACATGTCGCCTGCAAGCCCACCTGCGAATGAAGACGCAAAAGAAGTTTGTTATTTGCCGCATCATGGAGTGCTACGCGAGTCTAGCGCTACAACTAAGCTACGCGTAGTGTTTAATGGATCTCTGACGCTCGCTTTGGGAAAATCTTTAAATAAACATTTATTAACTGGGGCAAATCTCTTACCAGCTCTGACAGACGTCCTGNTGTTGTGGCGAACGCACCGATACGTAATGGCATCAGACATCGAAAAAATGTATCGCCAAATTCTGATCTATCCTGCTGATAGAAATTGGCAAAGAATAGTCCGGAGGTCCAACGAAAACAAAAAGGTGCAAGACTTCAAACTAAACGCAGTTATTTACGGGTTACCTTGCGCTCCGTACTTGGCAATCCGCACGCTGCGACAGTTGGCAACTGACGAAGCGAGTCGCTATCCACTGGGAGCCGCAGCCATTCAGCGAAACGTTTATGTGGATGACATCNTGACCGGCGCCAACACATTGCAAGAAGCTCAGCAGTTACAGAAGCAGTTAATTTCGCTATGCAATGCAGGCGGTTTTCCTCTGAAAAAGTGGGCCGCTAATCATACCAAGCTACTCTCAAACATTCCTCTAGAAGACAGGATGCCCGCTGACCCTCGGGAGTGGCAACCAGCAGAGTGTCACACCATGCTCGGGCTTCGCTGGCATCCAAACAGTGACAGCTTTTTATTTTCAGTGCGAGGAGGAGAATTAGAGCCTATCACGAAGAGAAACATCCCTTCCAAGACGGCGCAACTCTTTGACCCACTCGGATGGCTCGCACCAGTAGTCATCCGCGCCAAAATCTTAATCCAGTCCGCTTGGCTACAGGGGCTGGATTGGGACACTCCGCTGGCCAAAAATGACTGTCAGACATGGCGGAAGCTTCAGGAGGAATTGCAAGCTCTGGAAAAAATCCACATACCACGCTGGTTGACCGGTTGCCATTGCACGCACTCATTGGAGATGCATGGCTTCGCGGACGCCTCGGAGAGAGCCTACGCAGCCGTAGTCTACTTGCAAGCTGAGGGCGAGAACGGGTTGGTGAAAGTTAGCTTGATTGCGGCAAAGTCAAAGGTTGCGCCGTTGAAGCAGGTCTCTTTACCGAGACTAGAACTTTGCGCAGCTACATTTCTCGCTCAATTGATGGCCTACCTCATAAGAATTTTAGATTTGCAGAATACAACAACACACGGATGGTTGGATTCCACAGTGGCTTTAAACTGGGTACAAGAACATCCATCCAGATGGAAAACGTACGTGGCAAATCGGGTAGGAGAAATCCAGCGCCTGCTGACGGATGTGCAATGGCACTACATCCGCAGCAAGGACAATCCTGCAGATTGTGCCTCACGAGGAGTCAACCCTNTGGAACTCGCCAGTCATATTCTATGGTGGCAAGGCCCACCTTGGCTAGCAATGGAGAGACAATCATGGTCTGTCGCCACTGTCTCGCAAATAAGTGATCCTTCAGAGCAACGAAAGGCGTTGGTGGGAATGACGCAGCAGAACATCTTGGAGTCGGAAGTGCTGCTGCGTTTTTCGTCACTAACACGGTTGCTGCGGGTCACTGCCTGGTGTCGACGCTGGTTACCTAGCCGACGGCGAGAAGATCAAGGCAAGCACTTTCCATGCAAGAAAAGGGACGGTGCGATATTGACGACTGCAGAATTGGAAGCAGCGACAGGAATCTGGGTTTGTAATGTACAGGCCAGCCATTTTGAAGCAGAGTTGAAAGCACTATCACACCGAGAGCGGTTGCCAACGAAAAGTTCGCTTATGAATTTGAATCCTTTCATCGACGAACAGAGTATCGTGCGAGTTGGAAGAAGACTCGCTCCTCTCCTTTGATAAAAAACATCCCGCGATACTGCCAGCACAGTCTCATTTTACAATATTAATTATTGCTTCATGTCACAGGCAAACGCTACACGGGGGAGTTCAGCAAACACTGGGGCTTCTCCGTCGTCACTATTGGGTGCCAAGAGGAAAAGTCGCTGTGAAACTCACATTCATGACTGCATTACATGCGTTTGATGGCGGGCGGCAACACCGCATCAAATAATGGCCGACTTACCTAAGCAGCGGGTGACTCCAACGAGGCCATTTCAGCATACCGGGGTGGACTACACTGGGCCAATCATGCTCAGAACGACTCCGGGTCGCGGCCACAAGTCCTACAAGGCGTTCATTGTCGTGTTTGTCTGCATGAGCACCAAGGCGGTGCATTTAGACGTTGCCTCGGACTACTCGGCCAATGCCTTCCTAGCTGCATTCCGCAGATTTACAGCTTGCAGAGGGCTGTGTCAAACGCTGTACAGCGACTGCGGAACCAATTTTATCGGTGCGGACTCTCAATTGCGTTCATTGTTCACCGCAGGTAACAAGGAGGCACAGCTCATCGCGAATCAGCTTGCCACCGACCGAGTGCATTAGAGATTCAACCCGCCATCTGCGCCGCATTTCGGCGGTATATGGGAAGCAGCTGTAAAGTCTCTGAAGCACCACATTCGAAGAGTACTAGGCGACTCCACCTTGACTTACGAGGANATGGCCACTTTGCTAGCACAGGTGGAAGCATGCCTGAACTCACGACCTCTTCAAGCGCTCTCAAACGACCACGATGACATTAGCGCCTTGACGCCCGGCCACCTTTTGATAGGCACAGCAATTAATGCAGTGCCGGAGAAATCTCACCTCAATATGTCTGTCAGTGCGCTCTCTCGCTGGCAACATCTTCAGTACATGCGGGATCATTTCTGGAACAGATGGTCTCGTGAATATCTCCACGGACTCATTTCACGGTCAAAGTGGCGCANCGAGGAAAAAACCGTGGAAATCGGCCGTCTTTGTCTCATATTACATAAAAACACTCCGCCAACTAAATGGCCTTTAGCGCGCGTNACTAAGTTGCACCCCGGAGATGATGGACGAATACGAGTAGTCACGGTAAAAACTGCTACGTCGGAACTTACCAGGCCCATAACTAAACTGGTTCTCTTGCCACGAGCGTGTGCCGACCGTGAGTCAGGAAACCAACAGAACGTGTGCGGATAATGTCGAGCTTTCTTTCACTTTGCTTAATGTATTAGTACCACCTTCAACATGTAAAGAAAGCAAAATCAACCTCCCGTGCAAAAAATCTTACCATGCGTGTAGAGGTCAAGGTATTCTTTGACTCTCGCTAGTTGCACTGCCTCCCGCGACAAACATTGCGATTCGGGAGCGGTGCACTTAGACACCGTTCAATTGGACACGTTGCAATTAGACACGTTGCAAATAGACACAGCATTTTAGACACGGTTCAATTAGACACGGTGCATTTGGACACGCAAGAAAACGCATTTGAACGGTGTCTAAATGAACGGTGCGCAAGTGAACGGTGTCTAATTGAACGGTGCGCATTTTCTTGCGTGTCCAAATGCACCGTGTCTAATTGAACCGTGTCTAAAATTCTGTGTCTATTTGCAACGTGTCGAATTGCAACGTGTCTAATTGAACGGTGTCTAAGTGAATGCCACTCATTTCCCTTAAACTTAAAATTTCATACACACAAGTAAAGCTCATTTACACATCATACATTCGTACTCTACATGCGCACTTCATACATCCAGTCACGACTTAATACACATGTTTGGCACACACGCTCACTCATACACAGTCAAACATGCAAACATTCATTCAGGAACTCACCAAGCACACGACACATATACGGACATGGCTTAAATGCGCCTTACTCACACTTACCCGGGATTGATTCGAAATCAATCGGCAACATGAACGCACTCGGTAAGCTTCATGCACACAACATACACACCACAAACACGCAGCCATGCTGTTGGCATACTTCACACGTTCTATCATGCACACATAAGTTTACACTATATCTATTCTTACAGTTACACTTAGCGGCATTATTCATGTTTACAAACATGACTGGCCCATATACTTTTCACTCATTACATAAACACACGTTAGTATCACTAGACAGATTACTCGCATATATAGGGAAATTGAAATACTACCCTAGCATAGCACACACAACATTCATACGTTACAGGCAAACTTTAAGACGTATGGATACAGCACACACAGTATTAACATTCACATGTAGCTCATCAGATAAAACGGATGTATGTACTAAAAGCTGTTGAGGACAAAAAACATTCATTAAAGCATACACACAACAGACACACCAATCATTCCCTTTAACATACATACCAACATGTAGATTACACGTAAACAGACATCTACGTATAAACATAATTTCTTTTTTTTATTTGCGTAGCGCCAAGTAATAATTTATATTTTGTGACGTGTCCTCCGCCTTAGGATTGTTTAGCAAAGGTGCCGCACAACTTCGGCACGTTTATTTATTCAAAAACTAAATTTTTACTCACCTAATTCAAAAGTTGGGCGCCAGGCGTGCTTTTTCACGCCGAACTCAGAAATTTCAATTTGAAGGACGAATCTCAACAAGAATTTAAACGTGACAACAAGGTCACTCGGCGGCTCAGCTTATATTAATAACGGAAAGGCGTGGACTCAGGAGGCAGTGTTTAATAAATAACGGCAGAGAAACTTGTTCGTAGTAAAATTAATAGAAATATATTCTTAATGAAAATAATTTTTTAGTGATACCAAGTATCGGCAGTACAATGTAACAGATAACAAAAAAAAACTAAAGAATAGTATAATTAAAGATACGTAAAAATTTTACAACAGTGAGATGCGTATGACCGGCAACTAAATCGCAAGGTGTGTGACGAGGCTCGTCACCTGTACATATGTATATAGTTTATGTTCGTTTTCTTCTTTATTATATCTTTCTTTATTTGTTTTTCCTTTTTATATTGTTCTTCTTTATATCATTATTGTATTATCTCCTTATATCTTTCTATCTTTATATTTGTTCTATTAAATTCTTTTTCGGTAGCACTGTAGTATGTCTCAGTACCCTTACTGGTATTATAAGTTCCCGTTTCACAACATAGTTTTGACCGTTCCGCGTACCGATTTATAATGTAAGCGGTGGAAATATAGAATATAAGGGTTGGTTTATAATAGCCCTAACCGTAATCCGGTGCCGTAGTCATAATGGCCGTTACCGTAATCCGTAAGAAGGGTGTTTATAATAGCCTTCTTTACAGATTACGGTACTGGCCGATACGTTAAACGTTCGCTAATTCCATCACCACCTAATTTTCGGTGAAGTGGATACAATACTGGTCTAAGGCTGATGATTACCAAAATTGTTAATGTGAATTTCAAAAGTGAATTTATGCTGGCATACAAATTATTAGTCTCTTTCACGAAGTAAATATGGAGAATATAAACCTGCATATAACTCTTCTTTGTGGAATATTATGTTTAAACTATCTTTTTTTCCAGAGTTTCTCATTGATAGTAGGTTTTAATGGAAGTGATAAAAGCAATGTAATAGACTCTATGCAGTTTGTATTTGGTTATCGAGCCACTAAGATCAGAAAAAAAAATATCAGTTTTAATACACAATTCCAAGAAGGATTCAAATATCAATAATTGTACTGTGTCTGTGCATTTTCAACAAAGTATTAACAAGGTAAGAAATATTCTTTGTTTAAAAATATTCATTATAAAGTATGTAAAAAAGTTTTGCTATAATGTTAAGAAATCAGAAAATAATTATAACATTTATTTTAAGCCTGAAGAAGCTTATACAGTTGTTTCTGATAGTACATTTGTAATATCCAGAATGGCATTTAAAGACAGTTCATCTCTATTATTAACTTAATAAAAAGAAAGTATAATTTAAGGAAATTGGAAAATTACTAAAAGATGTTGTGGAGTTGACTTGTCAATCATAATTAATTTTTAATATTACAAATAAAATATTTATTGGTTTTGTTTATAAACTATTTTTATCATATATTTTTTTCATAATTACTAGAAAGTCTGTAATATATATACAGTGTTGCGCTTAGATAATTTGAAATAATCTAGATACAGATTAGATAAAACATATACGTATGTATCTCAGATAAGATAAAGATAATCCGATTTGATCATATCTAGATAAAAGATGATTTAGTTGAGATTTTTATCTAGATAATTTTA